CCCACACCTTTAATCCCAGCACTTGGGAGGCAGAGCCAGGCGGATCTCTGTGAGTTCGAGGCCAGCCTGGACTACCAAGTGAGTTCCAGGGAAGGCACAAAGCTACACAGAGAAACCCTGTCTTGAAAAATTAAAAAATAAAATAAAATAAAATAAAATAAAATAAAATAAAATAAAATAAAATAAAATAAAATAAAATACCCAAACTCTCTCAACTGTGGGCTCCTGTTGGGAAAACAAACAATCAACACCAAAACCTACTTACATCTTTCTTACTCCAAGAGGGAGGATCCAGAATACAGTCACGAATCAAAGCAAAGCAAAACCCAAATTCAACAGTATAAAAAGTTCAGTGCTTGATATCTGGAATCCATTCACAATCTTCTTTGCTTCAAAGAGACTTGGCAGTTCCACTTTTCCATTTCTGCCATCCAAAGCACACACCCCTTCTCTCCTAGGCTCAGGCAGGCTCTACTCCACAATTGCAGGTATCCCTGGTGGTTAACCTATGAAACTGTCATCTCCAAAATGCTGGAGTCTACTGCAACTGGACTGCACCTTCACCAACTGCCTCTCCTGGACTCTAATTCTACCATATGGTACCATGCCTCAACTTTTCTCAATGACCCACAAACCTTGAGGCTTCTTTTGCAGCCGAGGCTGCAGCTTCACTAATGACCTCTGCTGCCCTCCATGACTCCTTTATGCCTTCAACACCAGTACCCACCAGAAAACTCTCACACATGACCAAGTGCAGCTGCCAGCACAAGGTATAGCATGGGTACAAGAACACTGCTTCTGTGTACCCACCCCAAGGAAACACTTCCCAGATGATTTTGCCTCAATAACGCTTGACTTTTTTTAATCATAACGAGTTGTTCAGTCCCAGGTGACCAGTATCAATTGTCCCAGGAAAACAAAGGTTTCCTTTTAGGGTTCTTAATTCAAAATATTACATAATTGTCCCTGATAGAGTTTTAGCTTCCCTCTGAAGCTTCACAAGTCAGGGCCCCCCCATCGTGTGCATTGCTCTCAGCATTATCTAAGTTTCCACAATAGCTCATTAAGTATTACATTCAATGGCTTCTCTAGCTCAAAGTTTCAAAGTCCTTCCACATACTCCCCAAACCATGGTCAGGTCTGTCACAATAATATCCCATGAATATGGAACCAATTTCCATTTTAGGGTTTCTATTGCTGTGATTCGACAAGATGATCAAAGGCGACATTGGGGAGAAACAGTTTAATTCACTTAAACTTCTAGGTCACAGTCCATCATGAAAGGAAATCAGTGCAGGAACTCAAGGTAGGAACCTGGAGGAAGGAACTGAAGCAGAGACTGTGATTATTCTGCTTATTGACTTGCTCCCCATGGCTTTGTCTATCTGCTTTCATGTACCATCCAGGACCACCTTCCAGAGAGCTGCCCACCTGTTGTTTTTAACAAAATCTCAATCATTCAATTTTACCAATAAAGACTTAGGAGCTGGATGCTGGGGTGAAAGCCTGCTAGTCCAGAGAAGCAGAGAAAGCACCTTCCTCTTCCACTGATGTCCCCAAAGCCTCCTTCTCCTATGCTGCCCCCACAAAAAAAACCCAAAATGTTCTTCCCTTCTACTTCCTGTGCATCTTACTATCCATCCTCCTGACTCCCTTTTACTCTCTGGTTTTATTATTATTATTATTATTATTATTATTATTATTATTATTTATTACTATTAATCATCCTATGTTCACTTCCTATAAACTGGTTGCTTGACCTATGGATGACTTTATTTAATCCTAATTACAATATTCAAGCATAAAGCTCTTGGATTAAAGGTGTGTGCCAGGGCTGAGCCCACCACAACTAGGAACAGGTTTTGACAGCACGTAACACAATCTCGGGGTTCAAGGTGTGATCAAATATCCTGTAACATTTCCCCTGCTTTGTCTAAACAAAAAGGAAAGGTTTTACCTCTAACACAGTAAAACTATTTACACTAATGAAGCTATTTCTGCCAAGATTTCCACAATGTCCTCCTTGGTTGTATTTGGCAGTCTCGGGATTATTTTTTGAGTTCAAAGTTCTGTAAAATGTTTGTGTCAGTCTCATATGAACTCAGAAATTTGAATGTCCTAAGACATTTGTAGTCTGAAGCTGATCTTTGGGTGGTGTGTGTCAGCTTAGGGGCAGCCCAGGCTAGGTAGAACACAGCAGTCAATGCAAAAGTGGCCACTGTTTGCACAGAACTCTTTTTCTTGGGACATTTTCTCTTGATGTCCATCCTCTATCTTCAGATGTTCAGTTGTTTCACTTGTTTGGTGGTCTCTAGATTCTTTAGTTGGAAGCTTTTATTCTCCTGGAAAGATAAAAGCAAAACCCTGCCCTAATCATAATTCAGAGGGGTTCCTTTTTTGGCAGGCTATATCTTTTCTAAGGCAATTTTTTTTTTTTGGCAACAGAAAAAATATTATCATTCAACTAAAAAAACTCTTTTGAATTTTTGTAACTAAATATACCTTAGTAGTGTGGATAAATATAACTATATTACCCTTTCTCTTTAAATATATAAATACAGGGTTTAAGTGTATTTAGTTTTAGATCACAAAAGACATTCACTTTGAATTTCAGCATCCCATTTGCAGGCTTTTAAATTTAAATCACTGTAATTCTTATGCACCTGCCTCTCTGCCTCCCAAGTGCTGGGATTAAAGGTGTAAGCATCTGCCTGGCTATGGATTTCTTATCATAGTTATTCTCATGGGATTAGCCTCAATTAACTTAGTTCTCCATTTCTCCTTATTTGTTTAGTGTTGGGGTAAACTTTCAAATTTTTTCAAATATGTAATCTATCGTTCTTGCTGATTTATTCTGAATTTGTTCCCTGGCAAATATTGATATTCTAGTCCTAATTAAACATGATGCCAATTTGTCTACGATTTCATTATTTTGAGACATTTTTGCCTGTCTTGTCTGTTTGAACTATGTAAAATTTGATGTCTTTTATAGGTTTTGTTAGGGTTTGTCATTTCCATTCATGCCTCTCATGATGAGATATCTTTGCCACTTATCTATCAGTTAGTGGTTTTCCATTTTGATGACCATATAGCTACACCGTTCCACATGCACTATGAATTGAAGAAGATAGAGATTTTCCTTTTGCTTTCCTAGCTGTTTGTTTAACAGCTAATAGTGCTGCACTGATTTTGTGGTTCCTTCCTCAGTATTCCATCTCCTTTCCTAATGGAAAGGCTACCTCTTTCCATTCATTTTGGTTCCATCAGTGGTTGATGAACCACCAGTAAACCATGCGTTAACTGAATGTTCTGACCATTGTGTTGGTCCTCACAGTTCAATAGGTGCCTCTTTGGGAGAAGGAAGGGAGTGGTTTAGGGATGGAGATTATGGGCAACTGAGCTATCTCCTCAGTGGAGGAAGGTACAGAAGACCCCTTTGCTATCAAAGGTAGCAAAGGTCAAAAGGAAATTCAAATAGATACCAATTCCACTGTAATACCGTTCCTTCCATGGCTAAGCCTGCAAAGGACTCTGCCTCCGAACAGATCAAATCCATCATGGTAAGAGGCACCCTTATGACCATAGGGTGGTTGGCAATGATTGAATATAAGGTTATCCATGCCTCCTAAGATGTCCTAATTTGTGTCTCAAAAAGAATATTTATTCTCTGTATATGGAAAGCATTTGCAATAGAAGCCAACAGGCAAATGTTGGTGGACTCATTTTTGGTTAATGAAGAGTTCCCAGTTGCCAATTCGCCAATAAATGTGATATCTACAATTAGAGTATCATCTGACTCAATGTTGGTCAGTGTTGCATCATGGAGAAGACCTTACAGGCAGTCACAAAAGCTGCTCTTTGTTCCTGTCCCCATTGGAAATTAGCTCCTTTCTAGTAACCCTGTAAAGGGTTTTTATAATAATCTGTAAATATGGTATGTGGTTTCTCTAGTGTGTAAACACGCCAATTAGGAGCTGTATCTGAGTTTGTGGGATTAAACGTGTGTGCAACCACCACCTTGTTCACTGTAACTCTAGAATTTAGAAAACAACTAAATTATAGAGATCCCCCTATCTCTGTTGGGATTAAAGGCATGGGCTACCACTGCCCTGTTCAAATATTTTTGTCTTAGCTCCGAATCACTCCACCTCTTAGAGATTTAGAAAACAAGTTTGAACTGTAGCAACCCTTTGAATTTCCTAAAACATTTAAATCCCTTAGTTGCATTTTTAATACCAAACAACAAAAGTGTTCTTTTTATTTAAGAAGAAAACTCAAAAGCTCCAGGATGGCATGGACAATGTGGCAATCTAAAGTCTAACATTCTAAAATAGAATTAAGACAGAAACCTTTTCTTTCTTTCTTTTTTCTTTTCTTTTTTTTTTTTTTTTTTTGTTTTCGAGACAGGGTTTCTCTGTGTAGTTTTGGTGCCAGTCCTGGATCTCACTCTGTAGACCAAGCTGGCCTCGAACTCATAGAGATCTGCCTGGTTCTGCCTCCCGAGTGCTGGGACTAAAGGTTTGTGCCACCACCACCCAGCTCCAGAAACCTTTTATACATAGGTCTTTAACTTTTTACTCTGTTTGTATGCTACATATATCCATTCTAGGATATTATCTTCTCTCTGCATAAGAATTCCTGTGGGAGAATGAGTAGAAGACAAAATAACTAAAATACAATCAAGCTTTGAATCCAAGCACTCCACATGTGCATTCTGTAATTTCTTTGCTACCAGAGCCAATTCTCTCTTAGCCTCATCTGATAATTTTCTTGGACTATTGAAGTTCTACCATCTTGTAAGGTTTGAAATAAACTACTTAGTTCTTGAGTACCTAATCTAGTTGTGAGCCATAACAAGTTAATATCTCCCAGCAATTTTTGAAAACCATTAAGAGTTTGTAATTGATCTCTTCTGATTTGTACTTTCTGTAGTCAAAACTTCTGTAAACCTATTTTATATCCTAGATAATTGATAGACTCTCCTATTTGTATTTTTTCAGGAGTAATTTGCAATCCCTGACAAAGCAAACTTCTCTTTACTCCATCAAACATTCTTTTCTAGGGTATCTGCATCTGAACCAGTAAGTAAGATATCATCCATATAATGATAAACTTTACATTGAGGAAAGTGTTGACTAATTATTTCTAAAAGCTATTGTACAAAACATTAACACAAAGCAAGGCTGTTTAACATTCCTTGTGGAAGGACATTCATTGATACCTTTTAACAGATTGAGCACAATTATAAGTAGGCATTGTGAAGGCAAGTTTTTCATTAGCCTGTTATTGTAAAGGTATAGTAAAAAAAAAAACAAAAAACAGTCTTTTAAATCAATCACTATAATAGACTGTCCCTTA